CGGTATTGAAATTCTTTTGCATCTATACTTGTCACGTTTAAAACGTACAGAACTTTTATAATAACCCCTTTCTATTTTGCACAAGTAATGATCTGCAGATGGATAAAATTTTCATTTCTAATATCTAACGTATGAAATATCGGAATTCTCGCAGCCACCTGGCGGATGGTGTTGAAATTTATGACAGACACTCTATGCAAGATATTAACTCTTCCAACATAAAAGAGTATCACAACGATTATCCATTAATAAAAAAATATTACGCTTGACAAAATGTATTACAACACAAGTATGATAACGACAGGCTAACGACACAAATATTAACATTGCGATATTTATGCAACGATAATATTACAGGTTAGAGTTTGCTCGTTCAACAATCAGGTATACTGTAATCTAGTAAGAAGCGAGCAAATCGATCAGATTTTGCGTGCACTGGGAATCGTGAATTTTCACAGATATATTTCACATCGTGTTTTGATTAATTGGCAAATGGATCGTGGCAATTGCAGGATCCCGCTTGTTGATTTTCTTCCGACACACGAGAGACGTCGAAATCGACCAGGCGGTCGTCATGGTGACTCCCTTCGATCACCCGCCTTAGGCGCTCCTGAATCGTCCTGTGCGTACACACATTCCTGAAAATCAGCCAAAACGTATACTCGTGACCTAATCTCCTTATCGCGATAAACTAGATTCCCCCACTCGATGCACCTTTTTTTCTCATGAATTTTATTATTTTTGAGAAAATTGAAAATGAAAAAAAGCCGTACTTATGCTGATGAAGAAATTAACGACAGAATTTTTATATTACCGTTCGTGCAATATTGCAGTGCATGAAATTCTTTCTAGATTCGGAGACATTATTACGACTATCCTATTTTTAGTATTTTCTGACTCACAATCAGTTGAATATATTATGTGATGAATATCGGCGTCGAGAGGCGGAAGGATATTATTCTTATTTTTTGAGGAAATCAATTTTTCTCTTCGTTTTACCTTTTAAAAATGGACAAAAATTGTTTTATAATATTTATCTTTATTATTTGTTTACGATTTGAGAAAATATAAAAGTCTTATTTTTAATTGAAGAAACTTTGAACAAGATTAAAACACGTTCATATTCTACAGATATCAAAGAATTACTGTTACTAATTTTATTTTTTATTTTCTACGTATATCTATTAAACTATAAAACAATCGCAAAGTGCAAAAATTAACAACGAAAACGTTTCACTAGCAATTGTGAATGATAAATACAGTGGCGATTAAGAACTCATCGCGTGCCGGAAAATAATATTCGTTTTGAATTTCTTTCCTGACAAGATAACCTTAAAACTACGGCCATACCTTATGGGTGAAGGTCTGCGCCGAGTCAAAAGAACAATCGATTGTCCGACAGTTTCGATGTGAAATTAGCAAACATACAACAAAAAAAAGAATAATAATAACCAGTGCAGATATTTTTAACAATAATTCCAAAAACATATTTGTTAACATATTTCTATATTACTTTCGTTTTTTCGTCATTTCAACGTTGTTTTTCTGATTATCTGTAAGTTTAATTTTCCATAGCTTCGATAGATTTTTTATCTCTTTAAATATTTACTACTGTCCGCCGTTTTGTTGAATGAAACAGTCCGTTCAAGTGGAATTACTCGAAAGATTACACATACAAGACCGATCTGTGTCATCAGATACTACTTGATTACAGTTCTGACACTCTTTGTTCGCGCAGTAAACCGAGACACGATAAACGCGATAACCATCATGAAGTAAATTGCTAGAATACAAAGAATTTGTCGATATCGTGAGAATAGAAATTTCCAAAATATTCTTCCCGACAATAATATCGTTATCGACGTTACAATTATTGGCGTACCAATGGTATTTACAATGTAACGCAATTCAAGTGATAAAACCTTTGACTTTAAGGGAAAAGAAGTGGAAATTTTTCTTTCAAGCGTGTAAACGCACGCAAATTAAGTTTACGAGGGTAGCAAAAGAAATTCACAAATAATACCAATTGTTCGATCATCTAGATCAGAAACTCTCCTTAATTTCTCTGCAATTAACAACGTTAAATCGAACAGCATTGTTAACAGGTTATCGAAAGATACGTTCGATATTATTATAGGGATAAAAGAGAAGAGAAATTTGTTCGTCTCTTCATCCATGTTTGCATTAGACTCTCAAGGTTCCTTGGCTAATGGAAACGTCTCCACAGAGGGAAGAATGAGAAGGGTAAATGTACCTAAAATAGCCCGGGAGTGTATCGATTGAACCCCCATCGATTCTCTCGTAAAACTATAAATCACGTGCTTAAACTTCGATGGTTGCTTCTCATAAACGAGAAGTTGGCAATCCACTAACCCAGTGACATAGTTCTCTCGAAATAATTCGGAAGTCGAAAATCGTGAAAATTTGTCTCTCTCAATCGTCTCAAGTATACATATATCTACGAATCGAGAATTGAAAAAACGACTATTGAGAAAAAAAAAACAGAAGAGTATCGTTATTTACAAATATTATTTTACAGATCGATAGTTACGAAACCATGTGAGTTATTTATTGGATCACGCCCATATAGCCATGTACGCGATTTCAGCTTTTTGGCAGTGGGGATGGTTTCTCGACAATTCCTCAACGTTTCTGTGTAAATTGCTTTTTAGAATCGCGAAATGGATTTCGTGGAAGAGTTTGGCGATTACGAGTTGGTTGGAGGAAAAAAAGAGAGAAAAAAATAGACGGAGAAATGAATTACGCTGGGTGAAGCCTGTCAAAGACTGCTTAACAGGTGATTCATTACCATCTTTATCAGGCTCCGGGCAGATACTTAGCACAAAAGTCGACCTTCTCGTATTTATACAAGCGATAATTGATAAAACGTCTTAGGATAATGCTCCTACGTTCCCTCTTGATCAAGCTCGTGGAACATATTGCCAATCATTTTCATCGAAATTTCCCTATTTCGAAGAAAAAAATTCCCCTTTTGCGAGAAAGAACAACGGTCTCGAGTGTGTCTGTTGCATCGATAATTGTATTAATGCCGTGTAATCGAACGCTGTCGCTCCATTGTTTCTTTGGAGAAATGAGATAAGAGGAGAAGAGAACACTCGCGATTGCGGGGCACAATTATTTTTTTAAACGTTGAACAGATTTAAACCGTGGATGGAAAGTGGAATAGAATAGGAAAGCATAGGAACTGCGTGGAATCGTTGGTATAGTTGAAGAATATTTCATTTACTAGTAGGCAACGAAAGTGGCAAAATAGTTTAACATTAGGGAAATCTTATGACCAACAATGTGTAATTTAACGTATTGGAAATTCGTTATTGTTCTCCTTTACGTTGATAATATATTTATTCCTCTGGTGATAAGGAGTAAGAAAAATCTTGGACGGAATATTTCTTGCGTTTACATTTTTACTTCTCTCACTGAAACTCCGTTACCGTTTAAGGTGATAATTAATTCTTCCGTTTACTTGTAACTTTGTATGAAATATTTTAGGTTCGTTGTTGTGTTGAAAAATATTGCGATATTATTTCAGGTAACGTTAATGTATATATCTGTAATTTATGCATGTAACATGAAATTTGCTTTATGAAAATTCATTTGATTTACCTTTTATGTTAATTATGTTTATCTTGTTTCAGGAAGTTTTTTTCTCTGTTCTCACACCGAATACTTAATATTTTCTTCCTCAGCTTTACAAGTTCTCCAAATTGACTTGCACGCTTTGCCTGTTTTAGCACGCCCGATTAGTTAACTTAATCACTTAAACGGTTGATCGCAAATATAGTCTCTCTCTTTTTCTATCGATTTTTTTATTTGCTCACACCGTTCAGTGTCGTATGCACATTCCTACACCTAGACACGCATGCTCGCCTGTAAATCATCTTACAGTACCTCAATGGTGAGTACACAGCCCTTTTTTTCGTTACTAATTATCCAATTTTTATTTTCTCCCCTGCTTTTAATAGAAACCCTTTATTTTTATACTACATTGTTCGTTGGTGTATATTTTCCAACATGTACTATTGACGAATGTTTAACATTTTTCATCATCTTTGCATCTTATTTGGTTTCGTTGATGTTAAATATACAAGTAAGATGTTTCATTGATTACAAGATATTTGTAACATTAATGTAATCGTTGTACACACTTAACGATATAAGAGATACCTCAAACTATGTAGAAAAAACTATTACAGTATCGTTTTAAACTGATCAATATGACGTTTGGAAATTCGTGCATATTTTATAAACATTTGTTAATCTAAATTTCTGCTTGTAATAACGTTCAAAGTCACGTACTTACGGCGATATAAACTGTAATGTAATTACGTCGATATGATCTGAAAGATCGGAGCGGAAGTAAAATAAGACTGTGTATAGTCAGACACACCTTTTCACTTAAAACGCTTCCACCTTTCTAGGATATTAATAACTCTACTATTTGAAAAAGTATTTGCACCAATTGAACATGCACATACAATTTGCACCAATTGAAACTTGAATTATTGAAAAATTAAACATGAAATTATAATTATAATCAACTTACAACAAATTTTTTGCTATTTCTCAATTTAAAAAATTTCTAAAGATTTTTCTCTACAATTTGACATACTTGATCGTGAAACGAACATTTTTATAAAGTGTACTTCTGTAAAATAGTCACAATAGCCACTACTTTGGTAAATTTTCAATAATACGTTAATAGTGTATCTAATTACACTATTATTATTATAATTTCGTATTTAAAAAAGTATCCAACTTTTTCTCATATTACTAAGAGCAGTTTTCTTCTCTATAGGACAAGAAAGAAAACGGAGCGTGCATGCTGAGGCGAGCGACGTTTAGTGACCGATCCAAGATCAGCTGGGAAGTCCTTATGGTAGCTGAGGGGCGCGGTCGATCCTTCCCGAGCGAGATCCGAGGGCTGAAGGGCTGGCCCCGACGTTGGATCCACTCGGCCATTACCTACATTTAGAATAACAATGACCGACCGAAACGAAAATTTTTTATGCGAAACAGAGGATGAATCGAACGGACAACCGTATAAATCCGGTTGCAATTGGAACAACAATAACGACATCCGTAGCAACGGTTCAACGAATGCAATTAGAAAAGACGCGTTAAGCGTAATTAGGGATCCAAATTATTATCCACGATTGAATTCAAATTATCATTTACCAAAGAGGGCACCAATTGTCGGCTGGCAAAATGGCAGTCCAACTGTATTCCCAAGCACACCGTGCAGCACACCTGATCCAGACACTCTCGACACGATCGATTTGTCACGTTCCCACAGTGTTGGATCGTTTACGAGAAGCTCAGGAATCTGTCAGGATTCCGGGAACACCGAGGATCTCAGCAGCTTGGCCGATGAAAGATTGCTTCAGTCTACACCTGCACACACCATCGACAGAAGCGTGGAGTCCCTGTCACCTGACAAAGACACCTTTCTAACCATGTCTCCAGATTTTGGTAAGAGCAAAGATTTAAGCTTGCCGGAAGATTTCGAAGATAAGATCGATCTACCGAGCCCAGGAATCGATTGCACGGAAGACATACTGCCTACGTCCGTCGACCACAGTTACCTGACCTCCCCGAACCTTACCATAGGACCCAGCCCCACCAATAAAAGCTTAATACCGACCTCAGACTCAACTGGGTCGCACCCGTACGAGAAAAGCGACGAAACGAGCAATTGCAAGAAGTGCTCGGAGACTAGAGCGATAATCACTTCTAATCCAGGTTACAGAGACGACGATACACGTGACTCGATCGATTCAGACAGCTCTTTGGAAGATGAATTGACTGGCAAGGATAGAAAAGGCAAACCTAAAATACCAGATGGTGGATGGGGTTGGGTGGTCGTATTGGCCTCGTTAGTCATTTCCATGATAGCCGACGGAGTATCCTTCAGCTTTGGACTCCTCTACATTGAGTTCCTTCACGAATTTGGCGCGTCCAAGTCGAAAACAGCCTGGATAGGTTCTCTATTCATGGCGGTACCTCTTTTGTCCGGTCCTATCATGTCTGCCTTGGTAGATCGTTACGGTTGTAGGAGTATGACCATCTTAGGTGGTCTGATTTCAGGAATAGGTTTCGTGTTGAGCTGTTTCAGCAACACCATCGAGGTAATGTACTTGACTTTTGGAGCCATCGCGGGTCTCGGTTTGGGTCTGTGTTACGTTACTGCGGTCGTGAGCATCGCGTACTGGTTCGACAAGAAGCGAACGCTAGCTGTAGGTTTGGGTGCATGTGGCACCGGTATCGGTACCTTTGTGTACGCGCCCATGACCAGTTACTTCATCGAGGAATACGGTTGGCGTGGTACCTGTTTATTGTTAGCCGGTAGCTTTTTCAACATGATCGTTTGCGGCACCGTAATGCGCGATCCTGAATGGTGGATTATGGAACAGCAGAAGCAGAACGGTGCAACTCCAAAAAAATCCATCACCAAGTCCGAGTACGATAGATCCAGCGCGAGTCCTGTAGACGAGTTTCCTGGGGTCGACGAATTGAGGAAGATGCTGAAGAGCGGCCATACGCCGGAGTATTTATTACAGATCCTCAGTACCACTACGGAGGATCCGCAGATGGCGAATGGAGACATGAAGTTCAGGAGCGTGGTTAATCTACCTACTTTTGTGAAACACAACGAGAAGGTGAATAACTTGGTTATTTTCTGAAAGAATGTGAGAAAAATTCTTTTCTTCGCTATTTATTTTATGAGTGAAATGTAGCTTTTGTGTAAGAAATTCGAAAGAAGTTGTCTTTAAAGCAGTAGAATGGAAATTTAGCGTTGTTATGAATAAATTAGGCTTGGATGTAGATCGATGAGTTTGTTGTACGAAATATTTGCGTTAAATTTGGCGAATGTTCTATAACATAAGGAAATAAGAAAATGAAGAAATTTGTTGGTAAAATGATTCGATAGAAAGTCATCTAAGATGTACATTTTCGAGGATTACAGGTGCCCGTGGAAGTATTAGAGTCGCTTTCCAGTAATCCGAGGCTGTATAAAGTCATTTTGGAGAATTATCCCAATCTTCTATCATGTAGAAGTTATTCGGATAA